GCTTTGTACATTTTGACTTGGACATGTGCTTCGCGCCACAACGGCGCACACTTGTTCGACATCTCAATTTCCAAAAGTGCTCCGAGACCCAGGTGTTTTGTACCTTTTGACTTGAAAATTTGCTTCGCGCCACAACAGCGTGCAACTTTTTATCTCTCATCTGGCCAGATGGCTCCGCACCCGCCGCTTTTGCGAGCCTACTTTTCGACCCTCCGGAGCCACAAATCATTGGAAAAACACAGTGTTTCGCCACTTTGCTACCTTTTCGCGCACCTGCATCTTCTTTCCTCTGACTCTTTCTCTTCTCTGATCTTCATTTTTCTTGTCTTCTCTTCTCTGGCTCTTCCCACCTCTTTCCATCTGTCCATAGTATCGGACGTTTGACTTCTAAACTTCCTTCGACCATCAAACCATCCTAAATTAGGCGGTGTAAACTTTGGGTGTTCCACAGTATCATTGCATGTCAAACATGGAATGATGGGAATATCTGTCCAACAGCGGTATAGAAAATGGATATAGTTTGATAGCACCAAAGATGATATAGAATCAAAAATTAGGATAACTTGAATATGGCAACCACCAATGGGGCACATGTTGGGACCTGCGGTCGAAATGGTGTTTTTGAGGATCTGGAACCATCCAATTTGGGGGGCTTTCAATTTAAGCTTATCCCAGATCCACTTCAAAATTGGTTGGGTTCACCTCCCCCTCGGTCGATCTCAGGAATCGTACGTGTGCATGTTAGTCCCATCACTTGTAAATGGGATATAAACCCCAGCTGTATCTGCATATCTAAATGCCTTGATATACATGCACGTGTATACATAATACTAAATGTACAAATATATATATATATATATATATCCATCTATCTATCTATCTATCTATCTGTCTATTTATCTATCTATCTATCTATCTATCACGATATCCCTATACTACGTAAATTATATATATACACACACATCGGATTATGTGTATATAAAATATATACATATAACTTCCCAACTTCCCAACGCAGTACATATATATGTAGGTTATATAGGATTCAATATATAAAATCATAGAGAATATCAATATCATATGTCAATATCATACTAATATGTTCATATGTAATATTGTGTACATATCCTATAGATAGATATAAATATTGATATAGATACAGATATAGATATCCATATCAATATAGATATTGATATCGATATAGGTAGATGTGCGGAACCCCGATTTGTTTAGTCAATTCATGTTAAATCCCCCAACAGAAATGGAGCCATACTAGCACCACATGATTGGGCCATCGCTCGCCTCCATTTGGGGCATCTGCAGCTTGTTCTTTTGCTACTTGTGCTGCTTGTGCCGCTGGAGCAGCAGTGTGGTCTGGCCATTTGGATGTCAAGCCACAAAGGATTTTACCCTGGCTCATTTAAAAAACACTAGTCACTTGTCTACGCTTTGAATGATATTGAGGTACACAAAATATGTTCAGGCATGTTCAGGCCTTTTCTTTGAGGATGGAAGGAAAGCGGGGATCAATGGATGCTAGATATTTTATAATTTGTAACCACCAAACTGATAGCTGTAACTAAGCAAATCGGGATGATAACCACCAACAACCACCATTATCAATGGATTGATGGTATTGATGGAAAGGGAACACTGAGGGGAAACCGTGGTGTTTACAAGCAATGTGGAGAGGGCTCATTCTTCCCTTGAATCTGGCAGTTGTGTGAATGAAAAGCGGGTGGCTACCAATTGCGGAATCACAACCAGCAAAAACCAGAATGAAACCGGAGAAAATGTTTAATAGAACCAGCAATAATGGGAATGCAACCCCACAAAATAGGAATGCACCGGAATTTGACTCCAAAGCCGCCCTAAACCGCAAAATCAATCAAGAAATCTCCCTCCCTTGCTGCTGCACAAGGCTGATTTGAGACAACTACTTCAGGCTTTCCATGGATTTCCCAAATCTTTGACCAGTTTGACCATCATTCAGGGAAGCTTGGTCGGCATCGCCTTCACTGCTACTTCCTTGACTCTCTTCTTTCTCTTTTGACTGCCATTCGCGGCGCTTGCGGCCTTTCTTCTTCTTCTCCCTGACGTCAGATGCAGAAAAAACGGAATTGGAGCTGGCTTGATTGAGGCTTTTGAAACATAAAGCTTATCATAAAGCCCCAAATTATCAATATATAGGATATAGGAAGTGCATTCTGGCTGGTCGACATGCCCTCCCAAATCCCACTGGACTCCGCCTCTGCTTTGAGTTGGGCTGCTCCCAGTCCCAGTTCTCCCATTCTTCCCAGTCTTCTCCCCAGGTATCCCAAGTCCACCAATCTTCTCGGCGGTCCGCCTAGAGGGGAAGGCACCAACCCCAGAAATTGCTTCGAATATTCAAGCAGGGACACATCATGGGAAATACCATGGAAATTTCATGGACAGCCAGTGGGATACCCCAATGTCGATGAACATGAGCAATCCCTGTCCAGATTCATTCTGCGCAAATTGAACTTGGCCATCCGGACACGCTCGTTGCGGTCCCAGCTTTTGCGGCCTGGGTCAGTCACGTAACTGGAACCTAGTGGAAGCTTTCGGATTTGCTACCAGGATGCTACCAGGCGCACAGGAACATCAAATGTAGGTAATGATGTGGATGATTGTGGATGGTTCCCAGGGGTATAGGAACAGCACTGGGAGAACATGGCCATGGAATCGCTGGTGGACCTCCAGGAGAGCTGTCTGAACATATTCCAAAAATGCTGGAAATTCCGAAGAAAACAAAACCAACTGATGAAACATATGAAGCATTTTTTGTCTGGGACGAAAACATGTCTTGATTTTTGCAATCAGACATTCTTTTGGAATGTGCTTGGATCCAATTGGAACCCTACGCGCTGAAATCTTTGATAAATCGCATGGTCACAAAATGTGGGACTCCAAAAAATGTGGAATCTGTGCCATGGAACCATGGAACCTTATACTTTCATGAAGTTAGATCTGCCTGCAGAGTCCATTTCCAGCATGAAAATCAAACATTTTGCAGCTGAGGCATGGACGCTCCCACTCGCTCCATTCGTTCTCCTTCTGATTCTTCTTGCGGCCTAATGTGTGTCTCATGCTGTTGCGACCTGTAGCCTGTCGATCACCTGCAGTAACTTCCATAGTTTTTTGCAACCGGATTGAAAAGTGACCTCATTGTTTCAAAACTATCCGAGATACCTAACCCTTTTTGATGTATTTGGTGGTCGGTGATCTTCCAATGATTCCCCCAAATTTGGCTGTAAATCTGTTCGCCGCATTTTGTTCCTGGGTTTGCATACTGAAATTTGAGGGGAAAACTGGAGGGACATTCAAAATTGCCCCATCTGGTTTATTTACCGGATGTTTCCCTTCCAACCTCGATGGCCATATTCTTCATCGCGGATTTCGCGCTTGGTGCCGTCCTGTGATCCGCATGGAAAAAACTCAAGGAGACTAAGTTGAACCCCTCAAATGGAGCGATGGGCCATATCTACAAACCGTTTGCAGAATGTAGAAATACGAGTTTAAGATAGTTTAAGCGCATTAAATCCGCCCCATCACTACGTCCCCTTGTATTGGCTGGATTGAGACAGGGATGTGAATAGCAGAAAGTGGGAATGAAGTGGGATCGACGATATCCAAGGATGCACCCTGTTCTGTCAAAAATGGAGATATTGAAACTTGGCATTTCAGCCTTGAAAACTGGATTAAATTTGCATTTAACCTTCGAACATGGGAAGAAATGTCGATGTCAAGAACGGAAATTCGAGGAACCCCAAATCTGCGGATTGAATGGGATGGAAATGGAACTTCCGATTGATATAGATTCAATCTTGTTATGCATTGCAAACTCAGGTTCCCCCAAAACTTTTGACTTCGAGTCTTCGAGTACCGAAAATCTCTTCAACCCACAGGTCGAAAAACAAGAGCAACCAACAAACCCGAATGCAGTCACGTAAAACACCTTTGTGAAACAAGTTATTTCAACAGTTTTTGTACATTCTTCCTCTGTTACCGTACCAGTGCTGACTGTGGAAGGTGGAATGGGGTGGAGCGCAGAGTGTGCAGTGTAAAGACAGTGGAGTGCTGAGTGGGGAATGTAGTGTCTAGGGTATGAAATTGGGATTGTGGAGTGTGAAGTGTCGAATGTAAAGTGTAAAGTCTGGATGTAAAGTGTAAAGTGTAGAGTGTGGAGTGGCAAGTGTAGAGTGTCGAGTGTGGAGTGCCAAGTGCAGAGTGTAGAGTGTGGAGTGGCAAGTGTAGCGTGTCGAGTGTGGAATGCAAAGTGTAAAGTGGGGAGTGTAAAGTGTAAAGTGTCCCAAATACTGCGCCTGACACGCAAGATCACATTGCAAACACGACGGATCTTCACCAAATGCTGCACCTGCCACTCAAAAAGACGCTCTCACAATGTCCCACGCCTGCCACACAGGTTGCACGTTGTCACCACTTGACGCAGCCCTGACACGGCGATTCGCAAAAAGACACGCAACACCACACGTCTAAAGTGCTGCGCCAGCCACACAAAATGAAGATGGACACGTCACAAAGTGCCACCGAAACGACGTTGCGAGACGTTTGTAACCTCCAAAAGTGACCACTTTTGCAGCACTTCCCATAGGCACGGCCATAGCGACCTCATCGCAGACGGTTGCGAACGGTTGCGGACGGTTACGAAGAGTGGTTGCGGATGTGAAAGCGGCGTCGAGCGACCGCGTCCCAACCCCCAGACCCCCAAAGTAAAAGCCTTCGCTACGCATTCGGGAAAAAAATCGACCCCTCCCTCTCTCTCTCTCTATTATTATATAGACATGTATCCATTACATTTATAACTCAGATCCTCCACCAATCCCCGGCTCTGCGCCCGCCATCGCCCGCCTTGCCAATGGGAAATCCACGACGGGTCTTGGGCTTCTCATCTGGTGAACTCGTCTCCTTTTGGGCCCGATGGAGTTCTGCCTCCAAGTTTGGCCGTGGAGGGCGTGGAGGGGATGGTGACATCACCATGGTGTGGCCAACAGAAACAACAAATGGAGACAGATGGACTGGTGAATTATGGTGAATTGGTAATTGGCTAAAGATTTTCTGCGAGATGGTCTCTGAGATTTTTTCGGCTTGAGTATTTGGACTGCGGTCCCAGTGTACTCCCAAGTACCCAAATTGCCACTGCAGAGTATCGAGCAACTCTGTTGAGGTATCGAGCTTCACCAATTCGCAGCAAATTAACAAAGAGGTTCCACTAAATTCACTAAATGAGATGTTCTTGGATGTTTTCCAATCATGTGAGCCATGGTCAATACTCACTATATGGTTGATGGTCATCCCATCCATAATAAGGATCCTTATTCCATGGTTATTATAAATCCCTATGAACCATTGGATGACTAGCCCCGTTTTTAATGGTTATTAACCATGAGTATTGACCATAGCTCATGTGGCAAAACCCAAAAAAATCGCCATTCTCATGCGAGTTTCCAGCACCTCGAGCTCGGAGACACTGAGGCCGTACGGGGCTTCACCGTTGCTTCCTGGGGCAAACCGCCACCCCAGAGATAGAAATGTGGTTTCAGGGGAGAAACTTCAACGTCATTCTGGAATTGTACATGTTTGTCTTTTAGTTGGATAGATGATAATAGATTTAATAGATGGAAACCCAGTTCGGAGACAAATGATCCTCAGTAATCCAAGGGCTGATTAAGAACTTGATCATAGTCCCATATTTCACTGGTTAATTTATGTTAATATGGGTACCATTGTCCTAGCCTTCAAGTACCCGGGATGAAACCGTCATCTCTCGATTGGAGTTTCCCAAGTCATCTTTTTCGCTCACAGCTTGCCATGAGCATGTGAAGTATTGGGCCACAAGCCACACATTTTTTTTAATGTTTTTTTTTTTTTTTATGTCAAAAACATAGCTTACAGAAAGTCGACCCCGGAAAACAGATGCTGTCATATTCAAAAAAACACTTAAGAGTGTTAAATAATTGTCACCCCATCTTTGACCCACACAAAAAACACCACCCCTGAGCTTTTGACCACTAGCCGGCGGTTCCTAGGCTTGCATTGTGTGAAAATTGGGCTACCCCAAACCCCGACATTCAAACTGCAAGAAAGATCACTAAAGTGGGGTATGCCGCATACGGTATGCCTTAGAGACATAACCCAAGTGTCCAGAAGTTCCACGTCGAAGATCTCAGGATCTTAAACTCTCCACCAAATGCCTTCAAAAATCAGGGATATAACTTATCATTAATGTTCATATATCTATTATTATTACCCATATAGGATCCATGGTGCTGCTATATATGGTGCTCCATGGATCCCATCAATATACCCCAGTCATGTTAGCATATATATATATATACCATACATGGATCCGTCATGAGTTAATAATAGATAATAATAGATGTATGTATATCAGATTCATAGACTATTATTATCTATATATATCTGTATATATGCCATACATGGATCCGTCATGGGTATCAATTAATAACATCATCTGTTGCAACCTGGACATTTTTCAATCAGCCAAGTAGCTGCAGGTGGAGGCGGTGGCTCCATGTGCATCAGCCTGGAGCCACCACTTTGGCTATTGAAAATGCTGATTTCTGATATGTCTGGTTCATTTTTACCTAAAAATCATGATTTTCCAGAGCTATTTTTGATTGTTTGCAAGAAGCTAAGACTTGGAATTTTCAGGAGCAACCTGACTTTGGGGATCAACCATGATTTCATATCAAATATTAATTAACATCCATTAACCATTACCATATAAATTCAAGCGCCCTGGGCCCCAAAAAAGACAGGCTAAGGATGATACATCTCCGACTCGGATGAGGAGCTTCTCATGCGCTCCTGCAGCTGCGGGGCAAGAAATTTCGTCTGACATGTGAAGTTTCTCATAACCACAGTGGGTCATAGTGGTAGCTTAAGCCATTTCTATATGCATGTGTATATGCATATTCGTGTCGGCAAGGTTCAAAAATGGAATGCACATTCCAAGCAGAGATTCCTGACAATTCTTACATTGAAAAGAATGTTGGTGCTTAGTGGCTAGATGATATCAGCATTAGTTGGTAAAAATGGCGCTAGGTTGCACAACTGCGTATGGTTCAAGCATCACCATGAGTTTCACCAGCTATGATTCACTTCACCCCATAAATCATATAAATCTTCACCAGTGGACCCAGTGGATTGGCTTTTTTGGGAAAATCTACACAGGAAATTGTGTAGATTTTCCCTTAAGCCATATGGATGTTGCCTGTGATTTTTCCCTTAAACCAATCCATTGAATTCATCAATTCCGTGAGCCCAACTGAGCCTGGCTTGGTGATCCAATCATGGGCCTCAGCGGTTTTGAAACAGAACCCGAAAGCCGCCAATTTTAAGATTCCCTGGAGCACCAACAAATATAGCACTGAGATATATATATATATAATTATATATATAATATGTTAAATATATATATATTACATATATTTATTATTATATATATACTTAGGAACCCATAAAAAAAATAGAACCGTAAAATCCCACTACAGTGAAAAATAAATATACTCTTATATCTTTTGGCGGGGTCCTACATATGTATATATATATATATTATATATATGTATGCATATATGTAAAATGTGTGTGCGCGCGCAACATATGGGTGTTGCTAGATATGATCTCCAACAATTGATTGAAACTCATGTTCAAAATAAACAAAAACGGGACATTTGGCAACCCCCGACATACAAGAGTTATTACATACATACATATATATATATCATATAATATAATATGATATAATACAATATAATTATACATATATACACACACGACATACACATGCAGTGTATGTATACGCACTGATATGATATGTGTGTGCATATATCTTGTTGATAATCATGATGGCAACATGGAATCATGCTGGTAAGTAATCTTAAGGTTTTTTTTCGGGATGACTGACGATGGTCACCATGGATCTTGTGCGGGCAATGAGTTATAGGGATTACAAAAGGATTGATTCTTGATGGGAGCATTGAACATGATGAGAAGCTAGGTGATTTAGGCTACTCAATTTTCAGGCAAACCAATTTGGTGATTTCTCCAAAAATGGTATTTGAACATGCAAACCTACAGCTTACGGATGCTTACGGAGATAGCTGGAACTCTCCGACTCAAAAAGATTCAAAAATGATGCCTTCAACCGGCCAGTAAAACCAATTCGCAAAGGTTGGGGTCAACCTTTGCCAAGCCGTTTTGCTTGGATAAATTGAAAACGCATCTCTATCAACACAACCTGGTACTGTCCAATATTTGAAAGACACACCCAAGCGAGGTGAAGTTGGTTATATAATGTTATATAAGTTTATAATCCCCCTTTGGGTTTCAACTGGAACCCAGTGTGCCCCATTCTATAGAGGTAACTGGGTTCCACCATATGGGTGCATACAATTTTTCACTATAAAATCAAGAAAAAATGAAAATGCAAGAAAATGCAAGAAATACGTTATTTATATACCATTGAACTCCCATCAAAACCCCGCTTTTTATTGTAGTAATAGAAAGCACCTTAAATCCTGGGGTTCCCCACCCATCATCCATACGCTGCAGCTGGACTTGTGGTTGCGCCTCAACTGAACCATAGGCTGATCACTTGGTTCATAGCGCTGCTTTTTTGTTCCGAAACATGGTAGAAATGAGACAAAAATGTAAGGATGATAATCATGAAAAATATCGTGGCAACAATTATGATTATGACAAATATTAGATAACGACAATAACAAGGATAAGAACCGATGTAATTGTAAGCCTAGTCGTATCAAATAGAATGGCTGTTATCGGAGTCAGATGGGGTTTATCATAGGATATCAAAGAGGAATTTAACCAATTGACCAACAATCTGGTCAACCCTGGAAACCGCTCAGACCCCATTGACCCCATGTTTTTTTTTCACTTAGGCCTCCAAAACATTATATACCCTCTGTTAAACTAACATAACTATGGAAAATCACCATTGTTTATGGGAAAATCCACTATAAATGGCAATTTTCAATAGCTATTTTGACATAACCAGAGGGTAATCACTTCGAATTTCATGAGGATATCCGCAAGACCTCCACAATTCATCAGGGTTCCCCTGCGTTGCTCCCAAGTTCCCTGGCTTCATCTGGGGTTCCCAACGCATGTCACCGTGGACAGAAGTACCACCTGATGATGAAACATGGCCGAAACGCGCCGTGGCTGAAACAACACCAGGAAGCTAGTGACCGGCAGTGACATGATCACCTTAAAAAATGGAAGTTTCGATTTGAAAACCCATAGGATCCATGTATGGTATATATGCTAACATTGGGGGTATATTGATGGTAAATGTTACCATATATAGCATACATGGATCCTATGGGAAATGAAAATCATCAGGGAATTGTCCGTTGCCATGTTTGATTGTCGCAGGGTATCGAAAGATTATTTTTTAAAGAAAGTCGGGGTACAATGATTCTGAGCCAGGGGCCAAACGCCTCAATATCATGAATATTATATCAGCCGAATTGGATGAGGATGCACAAATTGGATAATGAACACAGAGTCTTGAGAATTCGATAAAACTCAAATCAACAAACATTTTTGGAGAATACCAGGGATGAATGTGTAGGAACTTCAATAGCTTAACAGTGATTATGGGGATATTATGGGGGACCATGGGGAATCCGCCTGTGCTTCTGCCCGTGGCATGTGAAGTAACTCGCTGGTGTCCATCTGAGGGTGACCCTGCCACATCCTCAGCTCATCTGCTATGAAATCTATGAAATCCTGGCCAAAAGAGATACATTTCTATAGATATGTCTATGTAATTAGTTGATATATTATGATTATGATATATTAATTCTGTATAGATTCTGTATAGATATTGATAGAACACGGCAGAACTGCCAATCTCTAGGAAATTTCACACTCTGAGTTGCCAGCATGTTGGAATATTGAGGCATGCCCTGGGCCATGTCCTGGCAGCGTTCTCGATCTGCCAGGATTGGAGCTTGTGCCTGTCGCACAGATTGAGGTCAACCCAGATTCAGCCTTGGTTTACTATGGGGGGTACCCTCTGGTTATGTCAAACGCAGCTATTGAAAATGGCCCATAGAAATAGTTGATTTACCTATTAAAAATGGTGATTTTCCATAGTTATGTTAGTTTACCAAACGGTAACCCCAAATGACAATCTCCTATGAAAAAAATCATCTCCCGTAAAATTCATCGGCCCTTTTCGGGTTCTGGATCCGGGGTTGACTCAGGTTGACATTCAGGTCTGTTTACCAGCAAAACGACCAACAGAAATGATGAACTGCCGTAAGTCGGGGGTCGAACAAATCCTGACACACCCCCATATGTTTTGCACATCCGCCACAAAGTCCCTGGGGTGTCGCCATGAATTTTGTTGGACGACCTGTGGTGGCCAGATCATCCTCTGCCCGTTGTAGATCCTGAGTGGCGAATGGCCATGGTTCTGGCTGGATCCGCGTCAAAGGTGCCTTTCAAAATCTGTGTATATCCGACCTTTCTATTTCAAGACCATGTTGTTTTCCTGTTTTTTTCAGATGTACTTTGCTGTGTTTCTCAGCTTCCACCCTTGTACCTTCCAATCCCAGGCACGAGATTTTGGGGTATGGCGGTGCCGGCTGGATGCGTACAGGCTCAGTAAGGCGATACCCTGGCGTTGCGGTGTATCTTGGAGAGTAATCGAGTGTTGAAAGGACGGGAGGAGTATGTATCCTCCTTTGTAGCAACTCCAAGACAGAAAAGGGAGAAACATGGAAAAATTATGTACACATAATCTAGTCAAAGACATTTTTTTAGAGTGTTTCTATATCATTAAGATTACATAAAAAATACTAAGATTATAATTAATACAATAATCATTACAAATTTTACGAGAGGGTCCATGAATCAAACGCAATCAAGCGTGGCTCAAACCTGGAACATACCCCATTTAGTTCCATGATGTTGCATCACCATGTCTGACACCAGAGGGTATCCTAGGCTAGACATAGATGTGGAAGATCCATGAAAATCCACCATATTTCTAGATCTGTTGGCTTCCAAGTTAGGAAGGTAACCATGGCTTAACCATGGCTTTTCCAATTGTTAAACGTTTACCCATTCGGCCGAAATTCGGCCGAACATGGCGAAATTCCCATCCCCGGCTATGGCCCCAGACTCAGCATCTCGACATACTGTTGCACCTGAGCCTGGCCATGAGGTCCGATCATGTTCCGCAGGATCTTCGGAGAGTTTTATGATTAAGTTTTAGGTATCTTATAACTCTGATAATTTTGTAGATTCAAAGATAAAAACACACAATCATGGTGTTGGAATTATATGGTGGTTGCATTTTGTGGATAACTTGGGTGACTTACAGTATATACTATATAAATTGACTACACTGCCCTTTATAATAACGACAGAATTGCTATGATAAAATGTTCAAGGCAATAGTAAACCAGACTTCTCTAACTATGTCATAAAGATTTGGTCATTACTGATCTATAACTGCATTAGTGCTTTATGTTGTGGATGCAGTCCAGTTGGTTTGGGATAATGCAATGTAGATATGTTTTATCTAGATTTCAGGTTATAAGGTCGTTTGTTATTGTTGTTGATGGCTTCTGGTAATGCAGTGATCGGACTTCCAAACGAATCCAAACCCCATCTATAAACCTATCTTGTAAGGTCCTTCTCAAGAATATGGATCATAGAGTCAGAGATGTGTATGTTTCGTATATGGAAATGATTGGTTTCATACAGTGATCTTTTTTAGAATCCAATAAAACAAACCATGGCTTCGATGCTTCAACCAATAGGAGCAGTCCACAAACTCCATGAAAAAAGCGTAGAAAGTGGCGGGCGGCCCATCGTCATCCCGCCTCTGTGCTCCCGGGAACTTTGTGTCCCATCTGTGTTGCGATCTCGTGAGCCAACAGCATGTTCTCAGCAGTCCAGATTGATATCCAGGGATGGCAAAAAATCCACCACTTTTTGCGGCTGATCATGGCTGATATCTCCATGAATATCCAAAGAAAAATATCCCCAGATATCCCCATGACTGGGGCTTCCTAAAGCATGGTAAACCATTATAGACCATGACAAATCATGATAAACATTGGGACGAGCGATGCTGCTCAAGAATAACCTGTTCAATGCGTCATCTAGGCCCCAGGCAAGTTCCGGCCAATGCTGAATTACCTGGCATGCTGCTGGACCTCAAAGTTATACACCGAGAAATTCAATCAATGGGAATTTCAGGATCCTAAAATGGAGGTACGTTAGTACCAGATAAGGCAATGTTTTGTGGGGATATTCCATAGGCCTTATATAGGCCTGATATATGGTAGGGACCTCCAATTTAGGTAGGTTTCTGAAAAGGCCATTGATTCAACGGCAAATACTAAGTTTGACTACATAATTGTAAGGTAAATAGTGGTAGATACTGCGTAAATCTATCTGGTAAATTGGATTGCATGTTGGTAGTATTATATGATATTACCAGGATATTATATGGATTATGGTTGGTATACCGTAGTGAATTATATGATATTAATGTATTGGATTATATGGATTATATGGATATTATAGTACTTCCATATAAATCCAATAATAATCCATAAGTATCCATATAATAATCCATACAATATGCAATAATCCATATAATATCCATATAATATTGTACTTACCTATATTGTCGATGAATATTATAGTACCATTGCATCCATGTGGTACTTACCATGTCACAGTTTTTCCCCTCCACCCATGGCCTCCATCAGCATAACACAGTCGTCCATCGCCTTTCACGGTGACGAAGGAAACCATGAGTCGAAAAGCCAAAAAATATGAGTTATAGTAGTAAATTCCACCCCCCAAAAAAAACAAGAAAAATCGATATGAGATGATATGAGCATCTATATACATAGATATTGAACCTTGGGGGATGGATTTGCCAGAAAAGATCATGAGATCGTTGAAATCAACAATTTAGGTGGTTCTCTCAGACCCTCTCTGAGATCACACACACCAAACACCATCACCAAAGATCAACTAAGATCAATTCCAAGTGTTTCAGATTTGCATCACGATACTGTTTAAAGGTATCATACTAACATACATTAACATACCATTGGAGAATATCATGTCATGTGATGTCAATGTGATGTCATGTCATACCATGCCGCCAGTTGACAGTGAGGACAGCAATATCACCAAGTTGCTTGATGTGCTCGCAGGACACGATTTGAGGGCACATGCTGCTGATACCTCGGAATCAACATACCCGGCCTGGTAAACATACAAAAAACCATGGAAAATCACCATTTTTGATAGGTAAATCCTTAAATCAACTATAAATGGACCATGTTCAATAGCTATTTTGACATAACCAGAGGGTAATCAATATCAATGAGAACTCGGCACTAGACACAGCCACACTGCCGCCACTTTCTGAGATTTCCTGAGCATTCGGACAACTGGCGCAAGGCCAGTAGACCTCCAGAACCGAAGCCGTGACCTTAAGAGTTGGCAAAAAATTTCGTGGGCCAGTGTTGCTCCAGTTTTTACGAATGGTTGAATCACGAAGTGGAATGAATCAGAAAGTGATGACTAAATCGAGTCTCCCACAATTCTCCACCCAGCCATTCAATCAACAACAATGAGTCCATAATTAACCATATAGTTAACATATGTTAACATATCTTAAGATAATCTTAAGATATTATCATCATTGACTGATCATGGAATATTCAAATCCAGCTATGACTTCAAGAACCTGACCGTAGTTCTGCTTGAGAACTGCAATGGGATCGAAGCCCACCAGGGCAGGACCACCTGAAAAACACCCACAGCCCCGTCTCCAAGAGCTTTGTTTCGAAAGTTGGGCACAAAGTGGGTCCCAACCTTTTTGTAGGACATGAAAAACGAAGATGAGAACCGAAATTCACAAAGTCGTACCGTTCCATCAGGGATTACAACATAGTAATACTATAGGAATATGTATAGGAACCATGTGGCAACAGGTAAAGCGATGTTCTAAACCCATCCACGGCATCATTTTCACATGAGCAATGTTCAAAACCCTCTGTCGTCCCTTGATACTGGTTGGATCTGGTTGGTATAGATTCCCAATTCATGAATTCTGATCATCCCGAATCATCCCCAATATGTCATGAGTAGTATAACCGTCATAACCCACTACAATCAATGAGGCTGTTGCAGCCACTGCTCTGCCATTCCTCAAAAAGATCAACCCCACCATGGCCCTGAAAAAAAAAAAAAACACCTTCGATCGGCAGGTTCAAGCGCTTGATCTCCTTCGGGCAACCATTTCTTGTAGCTTCAAACCAAAAAAAAATGGGAGATGAAAACCAGAGATCATTCTATTTGCATCAACGAGTCCATGCTTAGATGGATGGATGGATAGACAAACAGACAGATAGACAGATAGATAGACAGACAGATAGATTAGTAGATTAGTAGATTAGGTTGGTAGGTGGGTAGGTGGGTAGACAGACAGACAAACAGACAGACAAACAGACAAACAAACAGACAGAAAGATGGATAGATATACTACACACATGTATGTATGTATGTATGTATGTATGTATGTATGTATGTATGTATGTATGTATGTATGTATGTATGTATGTATGTATGTATGTATGTATGTATGTATGTATGTATGTATGTATATATATAGAGAGAGAGAGTACATACTGTGCTCTTTAGTAGTGTTTCATGATCTACTGGCAATCAAACACCTCTGATGCAACAGAACAACAGAATGAAAACCAGCTCCCAGCGAAGCCGCTCCTTTTGCAGCACATAGTGATCGAAGGCGTCTCCATTGTGTGCCTGAGAGAACTTGGCCATTTTCTACAAATGTTCCGCCGAAAGAATCCAGTCTCAGATCTCAATATCCAAGAAAAAGTATCTGACAGTGATATCTATAAAGTATGTGTGAAATCCTATCTATATAGTTCTATATCCACTTAATTTTAGATTATTATATATATATATATCATTAAATATCATTAAGAAGTATATTATCCAATTAATCTGTTATATATCTGTTATTATGTTCTAGATTCTAAAGTATATATGAAAGTGCATATAATTTCTCCATGATGTTCCATCACTTTCGTCAAATTTCGGGCCCGAGCCAACATGGCCAGCTGCCGGGAGTGACCAGAAGCACGCCACAAGAAAGGAAGGACCTGGCGCTGATGAAGGACCTGGCCTGATTCTATGGGAATCTATAGGGAATTTATGTGATTCATATGTGACTATGGGACATTCTCAGATGTTTATGTGATTCTATGGGAATTCAGAACAGATGTTTGGAGACCACCAAGAATTCATGGGATTGGAATGATGGCGGCTACCTACATGATTGATATCTCGACAAAATGGAAGAGAACCAAGAACATCGGATGGTATTGCCTTTTTAGGCCATCAGCCATCGACGATGCAAAAACCTGATATCCATCGACGATCATTTTCTTTAACTTTAACTAACCGTCACGGAGGATCAAGAAAATGACCAAAAACCATCAAAAACCAACATCTGGGATAGTTATCATGCCCAAAAATTATCAAAAACTATCATGGTTCCCGGGCAATAGCTCAGTCTTTTGGGCATCTATGGGCGGGAACCATGTGAAATCTTCGGAAACCGATGGCAGGTTTCCTGCACGTTTTCGGGTCAAAAGAAATATCGGCTGAAGACCCTAAACTCACTTGGCTATGGCCACAACTTCATGGGGCAACAAATGATACTAAATAGCTACGTCGTGTTTCTTGTGAATCTCAATCCAAAAAAAAACCATGGGTTTCAGAGTTTTAAGATCTCGTGTTTCCTGCCATTTTTTCCATCAAAATCCCACATGTTGGTTGCAAATAGCGGGCACTGCCATACCATGTGGACCGCCTCGTGCGTCCAAACCTCTCGGAAATACGGCAGCGTTTGGTCCTGGATGATGTCGGCATGGCCTGATTTTTTCTACAAAAAGCATCCAGCAGCGGGATTGGGATGGTCCTAACTCGCTGGGATGGATATGAAACATGGAAAAACATGGAAAAAAACATGGAAAACACATCCAAAAAAAAAACATGGGAAAAGAACGGTGCAAAGAGAAACGAAAGTTTCGAACGTTGGAATAGACTGGATTCGACCCATGGGGATTCAGTGGCTTTTTTGAAACGTGGGGTCGACTGGGGGTCGACTGGGCTGGAATCTGGTCCCAAAGTCTGAATACTTTTGATCCAGCCCCATGGTTGGGAACACCAGTACAATTATGGGTTTCTCTGAAAAGTACCTGGAATTCTGAACCAATTTTTCAGGATGGAAAATTATATCAGTACCCTTCCATCATGAATTGTTCATCCTCATTTTCTCGAAATTTAGATGGACATGTAAATTTAAATCCCCTTTGTTCGGGAAAAAAAAAACTCAATGATGATGGATCTCCCGCAACAGTTTGTGGTCAAGGTCCACCCCATGGATGGTTTATTTTCATGTCTCCTATATTCCATACATTACATGGCCAAGTTCCCCAAAAATGTCATGGCCAAGTCTGGAAGTAACCCATAGTCAAATCCCGAAATGAGGGGTTCAATAAATGAGGTACCCCAATAGCTGGATGGTTTTTTCTCATGGCAAATCCCAACAAAAAATGCATGATTTAGGGGTAACCCCATGACTTAGGAAACCTCCATATGTCTTGTCGAAATCCGCCATGGTTATCTTCGGCTGAGAGGCCATGATCTTCCGCGAATAGTCGGGCTGCATGGGACCTGGGGCATAGCTGTCGCTCCATGAGTTGATACACGGGTCGTGATCATCATCATCATCATCATCATCATCATCATGATCATAATAGTAATAATAATAGTAATAAGTAATAATATCAATAATAATTAATCATCATCATGATCATCATCATCATGAAATCTTGAGGATGTTTCCACCGTTTTCCACCTAATTTGGTCAAATGATGTCAAATGTATTGCAACATCAAGTTGGAACCCATTCGAAATTCGCCCAACTTTAGGTCGACCAGCTTGGCCCCTCCACTTGACATCCTCCCAGTTGAATTCGGGACGGCTGCGTACACCTTGGATCCGAGTGCTGTGAAATATGCTCATTGAACTTGGAATCGACACAGAAAATATGAGGCCTCTGGTCTCAAACCCTCCAAATATCTCCAAAGATATCCAAAGCTGGCAGTGCAAAAAAAACCGAGAGTTTTCCAATCATCCAATCATTCACCATCATTAACCATTATTAACCAACATTTTTCTGAGGCTCTCTTCTTTGGTTTAAACCCCAGCCCGATGGCCCGATGTCCGTGGATCTCCGGGATCATCCAAGGCGCAAATGCTTTCTCCCGTCAGCACCTGACATGGCTCCATTTTGGGAGGTCCGTCCGAAAAGAAGAAGGGAAAGTCATGTGCCCCGGGACTTCACTTTTCTATCTGTTTAAGGGAAATCCTATGATATAATATATATTTATATATATTATAAATATAAATATATATATATATATTATCTATATTATGATATAGCCAGTTCAATGTCCAAGGATGACACCAGCGGATATGCCGTATTTTAATGATTCTATCAAGCAACGACCAATGAGATTGCTGGGACCACGACTACTCTCCACACAAAATCATCCCAGTAGTCCAGCAGGATCAGCCGGAAACGAAAATCATGGATAGAGTTGTCACAAACAAATGGATAGTTTATGGCTGATGTCCTGCAATAGTGCCATAGCTATTGGACACTTTTGATATGTTTCGATGATCAAATCACAATTTTTGGATCGCGAGTTGTGGTCAACGGTTGGATTTTCGGGTCAAACAAATTTAGAAAGAGTTCATATGGTGCAGTAGCCAGAAATTCACACATCTTAAGATGATGTTCCTATCAGTAATTATATGATTTTCCATTGCCGGGTCCATCACTGGATGCTCTCCCTACGAATTACATCATCGCGACATGATTCATCTTGGATTCCGCACATCCACGGCGGCAAACTCAATGATCTGCGACCGGGATTTCCATTCGATCTGCTCATCTTGGCTGCATTCGTGGATACCTGGCGCTGCCAAAAACATCAAAAACTGCGGCTGAGAGCCGCTGTTGGCTCGCTGATGAACTTATTCGGAAAATTCGACTGGTCGTGGCTCAACAAATTGGCACTCTGAAAAAAAACGAAAGTCGAGGATCATCGCTTCATTTCTGTTATAGAAGTGTTAATGCACAGGGCCAACTAGTGAAGCATGTTCACCGAGAAAAAAACCTGAGAAGGGATGGGAATAGAATGGTTTTTTGGTGAAGTTCACCTTGATTTCGGCAGAAAAAACCTGGATTTCTTCATCCGATGGGGGATGTTTGACAAGGCCCGGTGGCTGTCTCATAACCCAGAAAAAACGGAGCATCTGCAGCATTCATTTGCCAATGTCTACATTAAAACATACTCCCAACCTGGGGCATTTGCCAACCCTCTGAAAAATTGAAAGGAAGTCACCGAGAACAAGACAACCCTCTTGAAATCCTGGGGGACACGTCTCTTTTCCAGCGACCAAGCATCAACAAGAAAAAGGATGATGAAACTGATCTAACAAGAATTGCTAAACACTCCAAAGACCCTTTTCGACATGGTCTGGTTGGTGGTTTCAACCCCTCTGAAAAATATTAGTCAGTTGAGATGATTCGGATGATTATTCCCAATATATGGAAAAATAACAAATGTTTGAAACCACCACCAGTGGTCAAATTCTCACGAGTGTTTGTATCAGCAGCGCCCAAAACAGGGCCTTTCTCTGCATAGTTGCCACGCTCGGCATCGTGGGTTGTCTCGAGGTCATAAACGATCAACTGAGCGAAATCTCGACATCAGCTGCCACAAGCCCTCTGGCAAGCAAAGCTGACAATCGGAAATCACCGTCCATAGATTTGAATAGGAAAGTCATCTGCAAATTGGTTCAAATTTAATTCTTTCATGTTCTTTCCCTTGCCATGTTTGATTACCCGAGGCCGTTTTGTGAAGGCAGGATGTAAAGGAGAAGCAAAGAATCCAGCTCGGGCAGCTCTGGCGCATTTCAGAGAGGAAAAGAAGAACTCCCGCGAAAGTTGAGAATGATGCTGAATGCCAAATGATGGTGTAAGTGTTGTCATTCAGCATAAACTCAGCCACTTGTCAAATGATTTCCGGTTGGTGGTTTCAACCCACTCTGAAAAGTATTAGTCAGTTGTTCACACAAGGCGGGAGGCTGGGATGATTATTCCCAATATATGGAAAGTCATAAAAATAATGTTCCAAACCACCAAGCAGTTTTGAATGATGGAGCCACCCATCTCTTCCTGGTTTTGTCCGATGTTTCCAGGATCTTTCCAGCCGAGTCACCCCGAAGTTCAGCGTACCCACATGAATGCCGTCGTGCACCTCAGCAACTGAAGACCCAGGTCGCTTCCTAATATCTTTGGAGCCCTATGTCTTTCCTGATTTCCTATATGAAAATGAAATTCAAATTGCAATGACCAATGATGATGTCCGAAAAAAACTGTCACCCCCATTCTCTTTCGCAAAAGCTTGAGAACCGAACCTGCGGCATCGGCATATGCTGTTGCATATGCTGCTGCTGTTGCTGTTGCTGCTGCTGCTGCATCTGCAGCATCATTGGTGGTGCCTGCAGCATTTGGTTTGGGACTTGTATCTGTCCCGCTGGCTGTGTCTGTGGCAGCGGTGGGTTCTGCCTTGGAAGGCCATTTTTAGTGGTCTGGGAGTGGAGGGAGACCCAGATCATCATAGATCTATGACCATTCCAATGGGTAAAATGATGATAGTCGCTGTCGGATGTTGGGGTAATCTTGAGACAGACCCGTGCTGGCTTGCGAACCTCCCACCTGACAATAACCTAGTCAAAAAGCCGCTTTATGAGGGGAGAGCATAAGCCCACTTAAACACTTAGGAGTGGAATGACATAGCGGACAGTCCACCTGACTAGCAACCATAAAACCGCCACCAAATCCCTAAATCTTTCAGTCAAGTGACATCATTTGTAGCTCCTGCCAGTAAACAACGCGCAAAAAAAATCTTGAACCAAACCCAGAAATGTTGCCTATGCAGCTCCATCAACCGGCTCCTGGCTGTTCGGAGGAACATACCAGCCAGAATTCTGCACGTACTGGCGACATCGATGTTGTCGCAAAAAAACTTGGGTTAGGGTCCCCAGTATCCTGTCCGTGACCGTCCAAAGAATGAAGAAAATATATAGATACAAATAGACCATATATAGATCCAATGGGGACAATGGGGGATGGTCTGGTGTTGATCCTCCATTGGTGACCAGCTATGGATCAACATGACCAGCTATGGATCAACACAGCACCAATGTATTCAATGTTCTGTGCATTTGGTGTTGATCCATAGCTGCCATAGCTAGTGGACTGCCACCAGCCTGCGGAGGGTGGTACCTGAGACAATGAGACAACGACTCTCCTCCAAGGCCCAGCATCTAAGTCTACCGTAACTTCATCCGTTTATATTATATATATACACTATATGGGGTAGTTCTGTTGTCCCATAAACTCAGAGTATATATATATATATCATATATATGTATATATATATCATATATATGTATATATATATATCATATATATATATATGTATATATATATATCATATACTAATATATATAATACATCATATATATATAATACATGATTGAAGATCACATTTTTGGGACGTTTTGAATCTCGCCACGGCACTGCATTCCATAACTAAAAGGCGGTGAGGTGAATGGTGACCTCAATAGATCAAAACAGCTCAGACATAGCATGACATTTCGATTCTGCTGTCGAAGGAGATCTACTCCAAACAAAATCTGATCTGGTTGGTGGTTTGAACCATCTTGAAAAATATTAGTCAATGGGAAGGATTGTCCCATATATTATGGAAAAATGAAAAATGTTCCAAAACACCAACCAGAAATGGACAACTCCAAGGAATTCATAGCTTTTCCGGGAAACTCAAGTTGTAAAGACAGACAGTGTTGGATTCTAGGTATCTCCATCATTAGGATTCATGCTGTGTATCTGGGGGTATCAGAAATCGCCCAAAAAACAACTACAGTAGGGCGACTGCTGAAACGAGGCCGTCAACACTGGATGCTGCGGTTGAGGAGGCCTGACGACACTGGAAGGAAACTGCCTGTGGAAGTTGCTGAAAAAGATTGGAGTGGCATAAAAAGAAGTATCTGCCCAGCAATCTGACTGAATTGACTGAATCACTAGTGACTAGGATAATTCGAGCTATATATATATATATATAAATATACATAATATGCCAAAACGACATGTTTTTGTACCTTCCAAATAAGAACGTTTCTTGTGAGGTTTCCTTAGCAGTTCCTTGTGAGACATAAATAGCTGATAATTTTTCCAGATGTGTCACATTCCTGGTTATACCGGGTTCCCGGTATGTTAGGACATGAAACTTCACAGATCTCAGCACATTTTTTTCGCCAGATGAATATGGGCAACTTCAAGGTTTCCATATTGCGAGTTGAATCGCAGAACATGTCAATATGTCCATACGTTCCAATTGAATCAACTGATGACAACTCCAGCTTGATAATCTGCTATGAAATTAAAGGGGCTCCGTTTCAACGTGACAACTTGTGACACGTTTCTATGCGACAACTTGTGACATCTTGTGCCCCTCATCATCCAGCAGACTTCATTAATGGTTATGTGACATCATCCAGGAAGTATAGCCACCAAGATTTTCAACGACCCATTGCTGCACCCGTTTGGCGTCTTATTCTCAGAGAGGTTCTGCGAAGGTCTAAGTCGACACGCAAGAAAGTGATGCGGGCCGACTCATTGGGGCCATGGCGGCCATGGTAGTTGGGATTCATCACCATCATGCCATGCCATCATGTCATGCCACGATATTTTCCAATTGCGACCAAATTGTGTTGCGCATATTTCCAATTGGGGATGCCCCAAGATACCACTGAAGGCTGTGTCCCACTGTGTGTCCCTCAAAAATCAGCACAAAAATCTGCGCGGCCTACAGTTACGTAACTAGGTCACTGAGGCCCCGCACATTTGTTCCATGGGTTCCTGGGGCTGTTGTTCAATGGAACCAGAGATTTCAACAGATCTCAACAGATCCAAGCGTTCCGAGCTTAGGACGTGCGGCGACATCACGCGTTGCGAGTACTGAGAAAAACCTTGGAGTTGCGGAATGCTGTTCCAAAGACATGGATTGGGTGAATATCGGAATCCCAATTCTTGAATTTTCCAGCGTGTATTAGGGCTGGATTTTGATGTTCTATCATTTTCCCAACGCTTGAAATTTCAGTTGCCCAAGCTTGAAACTGCAGTGTCCTCAATTTTTTCAGCTGGAGCTTCAGGTTTTGGCGCTTGGGAAGCATTCCCAAACCATGAGTCTATCGAGTCTATCGAGTCTCAAGTGACATCACTTCTATCATATCACTACTCTATTATATATATATATAACTATCATTCTAATATCATATGATACTATCATTATTACCATTTTACAACTACTATCATATATATATATTACTATATAGTAGTATACTTGTATTATACATATATATATATAATATATATATACTATACTATCATTTTTGTCATTTTCTATCCATGGCGCCACTGATAAACTGCCCACATCCTGAGGCTTGGAACCGTCGCCAGTCGCCAAAGCTGTGTGACCGGCCTTTTCTGGGCGCCCATTCAAAAAACATCCGTAGGCGCCCAGAAAAGAAACCATGCAGATATTTTCCCAGATATTTTAACTTCTTCCCAAATATATATCTGGGAAAATAATGGCAAACCATCGAGATCATGACATTTTTTCAGACCATGTGATTTCTACATGTGATTTCTACGATGAAAAATGCGGAGTCCGTCGCACTTTTTTAGAATTCCCATTTGGGGTTCACACGACGGGTTCGCCCAGGCGGTCCATTCCACCCTGAGACGTCGCTGGGTGTGCTGGCTGTTGATCAGCCAGGCTTTTGGATGTTTGTAGGAAAGCCCACAACTTTGGCTATCAATAGTAGTGAACTTCAACTATACAGGTTTAGAAAGTTTAGAACGTCGATAATTTTGAGCTAATCCCATATTGGGGATTGTGATTATACCACAAATGGTCCATTTACCAGGGATCTTCGCAAATTTGTCATGGATGCGACCCTTGTTCAAACAATGTTTAATGGGGGCTGTGGATTTGCGCTTGTACAATCCAGTTGAATTTTGAAAAACAACAGCGCAGTATCCATGGTTCGTACCATAGATTTTGCCGAGTGTTTCTTGAAAAACCCTGAAAAACTGTCGCCCTCATCCGTTTCAACGATGATCCCCGCAGCAAATGACACTGCTCCACTGCTCCGGCGCTGGCACCTCTGGGCTACTGTCACCTGCACAAGAAATTCTCGTGGAATTGTCATTCAATGCGCAGCAGTGACATGAAGGACCCATGTCTGCCTCAAGAATCCTCATCATCTGGCATATCAAACATGATCAAACTATATCAAACTATGTGCCACAAGTTCCATGAGATTATTGGCTCATGGTCATCCCAGCATTGAGTGAATGGGGGCTGACCATCCAACCATCCAGCTAAACCGTAAACGTCCAAAGGGGGATCATCGAGGACCTGTCTGTCCATCTGACAGGGATGGCGGCGTTTGCAAATAAACACCTGGGCAGCTGGGCATCGTTTTGTTACTCCCCAGGCTCCAAAAGTTCAGGAGATAAAAAGTCCCCATGCCAAAAAAACCTGACTAGGTGTGAATAATGATGCTCCAAAAAAATATCTTGCAGCCGGGATGTTCTGCTTCCTCATATCCCCATTTTTTGTTTTTTTTAACTCTTTAACTTTGTCCACATGTTTGATTGGTAAGCCTCCCACATCTAGATGCTCATGATTAAAAATCTGACAAATCACATCACCAGCATTGCTGGTTTATCTGCTTGGAATCCGCTTCCCAGATAGTAAAATCTTCAATCCCCCCATTTCTCTTGGATAACCCCCCCCCAGGTTTCCAGGTTTTTGGCGGCCCATACGGGAATTGTTGCCCTGAAAGGGCGGCACTCCGGACGTCCACCTCGGCGAGGCACAACTGGGAGCTGGGACTTCTAGCCAGGTTTCACAGAGTTTCATGTTGGCTTATCATATTGGAATTGGGATTTTCCAAGTTTCATATGGATTGATATGGGCTAATCATGCTAATCTGTTTTTGGTGTTTTTTGCCCACTTGATGCGGTTTTGCCCAATGTCAAGGCTGATTTAACACTCCAATAGTGATGAAGTTCACCAATTTCACCTCAAAACCCCCACATGTGAGCGGGTTCACACCTGGGATGGAGCCAGCACTTTCTCGCAATTCGAATGGGAAAAATCATGATCAAACAGAATCAAACATGAGGCGTTGGCGTTTTTTCCCGTAGTCTTCAAACAAATCCAACTCTGGTGGCTTTAAAACTGCTTGTACACCATTCCATTGGGATGTAGAACAGGGATATCAATGGTTAGATTGGCAAAAAAAAGTACATTGACCAATCATCAAACAGCTGTTGTTGGAGATTTTCCTTTCAAAATCCTTGAGGTTTCTGCAGTTTCCCATGCTTTTCCCATGTTTTTCCTATGTTTTCCCATGCGTTTCCTATGATTTCCAACCAATTCCAACCCTTCCCAGGTGGCCAAAAGGCCCAGACTTCAGGCCGATAGGACCATCCAAAGCGAAAGACATCCCCCGAAGGACCAATTTTTTGATTTTTGTCTGAGGAACTTGTGAAACTTATGAAAATTCTATAGAATTATATATGAAAAACATGTATATATTTTTTTCGAATTCAAAATAGTCATTGAGCAAAAATTGGAAAATGGAATGGAACAGCTCACAAATAAATGGAAAGGTAGCAAGTATGCCTTCGGGAGAAAGCCAAAGCAGGGAAATGCCGAAACAAACTGCAGAACGTCGGCAATTGATTTGTCCACAATGGAACTTGTAGATTCAAATAAAACATCAACGGTGAAATCTCAGAACCTTATTTCATAACACTTTCCAGTCTTCAAGAAAGCAGGTTTGAGCTGTTTGAGCCCTATAAGCGGCAAACATCATGCGGTATGAGGTCAATGCTGCTTCTGGTGGAAAGGCTTCCCTGTGATTTCCTCAACCCACAAGGAGAATCCGTTGTTTCAGCCCTGTGAATTATGATATGGATCATCGTCCATATTTGTCGATATCATCCCTTTGTATGTTTTTTGTGGACTGGAAAACCGGATGAAAACTTTTATGAAACATATTGAAATAGGCTGAAATAAAGTGAGATCTCTGAATTTATTTGAAACATGTTGAATTCACCACCAGCACCAACCATGGTGAAGTCCCTCTTTCGACTCGCAAAGAAAACAGCGAATGTCCCAGCAGCCTTGAAGGTCTACATCAACCTTCGCCATTGCTCGGCTTTGGGCATGGCCCAACGGTATTTAGACATTGATGATGGGAACGAAGAGGGAAAGCACTTCATGGACTTCATCGCAATGATCTCTTTTTTGACCTTTTTGATCTTCTTGATCTCCATTTAAGTCATCCGTTAATGCCATTGGTTCCATGATCTCCATGATCTCCATGATCTCCATATCGAGGAAGCTGGTGCATCAGTTTGCCGCCCGGGATCCAACATTTGTCGCTTTCGTCAGGTTCCAACATTTCACGGCCATTCGCGAAGACATCGCGTCTTCAAAAACGACATGTCCAGAGTTGAGGTATACCAGCTATGGAGTGTCCTGCAGACTGACTCAGGACACCCAGAATCACTAAGTTTTTTGATTTTGTGGAAGTAAAAATCATTGAAACCTCAATTTTGACCCATAAATTGCCCATAAACATCTGTTCAGATCTGTTGTTTTCTATGTTTTCTTGGGTTTCCACAAGTTTGTTCTTCCGTCCTCGAAACTCAGCCTTGGATGACTTGGATACCTTGGCTAGAGTTCTAAAGCCACTGAGAGGGGCGTCTAACCTCAGAACGGTGCAAAAACACGGGAATCGGCTGACCGGCCAGACCCGCCGCCCTGCAACTGTCGACATGTTTTTTCTTTTCATTCTCAAGATGACATGCTGAAAACCCAGTGTTTCTTACATGCATTTAGAAAGTATCATTTTGTACTGCGTGGGCCAATTCAAAATGAAGAATAGTCTTTGGTGCAGGCAAAGCGATCATTATTTTAAACCACGTCGGGAAAAATTGGAAATGCTAATTGATCTAAAGAAATCCCATGCCCAAACGGCTTAGAAGCATCTTTATCAACTCTGCCACAAGCATTCGGGAAGTTCTTCCAAGATGGAACTTGTGATGGACGCATTATGCCTCCACTGGAAGCTTCGCTCCCACTTCCAACGATTTTCGCTGGTTCCTCCATGGGATTTGCCTTTTTGGGCAAAAGCGACTGGCTTCCATTTGTTCAAGTTTTTTTGGTATGTGCGAGCATAGTGGCATATTCTATTAACGTAACCGTAACATTAAACCTACGTATGTTCGCGTACGTTATCCACATGTGCAAGCGTAGCAACATATTCTATGAACATAACATCAAATTTGTGTTCGCGCACGTTAATCACCAACATGTGCAAGCGTAGCACCAGATTCTATCAACTGAGCATCAAACTTATGCTCGCGCACGCTAACAACATGTGCAAGCATAACAATATATTATATGAACGTAACGTCGAACTTGTGTTAGCGCAGGATAACAACATGTGCAAGCGCAGCAGCATATTCTATGAACGCGACATCCAATTTATTATCGCACACAAGAACAACATGCATATTCTTTTTCCCCACCTGCCAGGTGAGGGTTGTTCGATTTTATCACAGTTGTTCTCCTCCTCCTCCTCGGCTAGCTATCCTCCTCCTGCTCCTCCTGCTCCTCCTGCTCCTCCTCCGCCAGCATCTCCTCCACCACCTCTGCCTCCACTTCCACGTCCACTGTTGCCTTGCCAACTCTTCGCCAACGTCCGAGCTCAGTGTGCACCTCTGGACCTCAACCTGGGACCTTCCCAGCTCAGTGGGCACCGCTGGACCTCAACCTGGGACCTTCCCAGCTCAGTGGGCACCGCTGGACCTCAACCTGGGACCTGCCCAGCTCAGTGTGCACCGCTGGACCCAGCTCAGTGTGCACTGCTGGACCTCAACCTAGGACCTGCCCAGCTCAGTGTGCACCGCTGGACCTCAATGGCCAGATAAAATGCCAGAAGATATGCCAGATAGAATGTCAGATAGAATGCCAGAAGATATGCCAGATAAAATGCCATGAGATATGTCAGATAGAATGCCAGAAGATATGCCAGATAAAGTGCCAGAATTTTTGCCAGATAGAATGCCAGAAGATTTGCCAGATAATATGCCAGAAGATATACCAGATAGAATTGTTTTTTGCCAAGCGCAGGCCAGACAGGCTGAGCGCAGAATCCAACGTAATCCTGCAGAAAATACTGTGCCAGGGGGATGAAACTGATCTCTACCTTGCAGTGCCATGTCAAAAAACGTTAGTGTAGGAGACAAACATGAAATTAGAAACAACTTAAAGATGTCAAGGGGGAGACAAAAGTAATCCCAATACCCACTGTGATATTGGCAGGGCAGGGAGAAAGCCTTTTGCTTTCGGTGATGATTTTCGGTGGCGATTTTCGGTGACGATTTGCCACAATTTTCGGTGATGATTTCGGTGACGATTTTCGGTGATGGATCACGAGAAGACTCCAATTCTCTGGCAAGCTAGGTCGTTGACTAGCTGTCTATGCGCAGGATTAGCTATGTCAAATGGGTGTGGTTGGTTCAGAGTTTGATAAGCATCATCATATGTTGTTGTTAACCATTGTTGTCGAGGTTTTCCGGGCCGCTTACGAAATTCCAATCTTGGAATTAAAGTTCCTTTTTCAAACAGAACTTGTCTCATAGGGTCACTAGGCGCAGATCTGAAAATATGACCAAGAAGGGAAAGTTTGCGTTGTTGCCAGAAGATATGCCAGATGGAATGCCAGAAGATATGCCAGAACATATTCAGAAGATATGCCAGGTAGAATGCCAGAAGATATGCCAGATAGAATGCCAGATGGAATGCCAGAAGAAATGCCAGAACATCTGCCAGAAGATATGCCAGGTAGAATGCCAGAAGCTATGCCAGATAGAATGCCAGATAGAATGCCAGAAGATATGTCAGATAGAATGCCAGAAGATTTGCCAGTAACAAAATGTATAAATGTCACGGTGGGGATCACACGAAGTAAAGTAATTTTACGGTAGCATGCCAAAGGACGTTACTAGCCTCACCCCACCCCACGCCATCTCTAACGTAGCATCATGTTGGTGTGCAAGTGCCAAGGAACGTGACTAGCCCCATCACACCCCACCACACCCCACCCCATCTCTAACCTAGCATCATGTTGGTGCGCAAGTGACAAGGAACGTTATTAGCCCCACCCCACCCCACCCCACCCCATCTCTAACTTAGCAACATGTTGGTGTGCAAGTGCCAAGGAAAGTTATTAGCCCCATCCCACCCCACCCCACTGTACCATAACCGAATCATACCTTGCACAACATCGAAATATAAATATACGACAGCAAAAAATAACCACCCTTCTCGGGCAGCGAGTCAGCCGATAGCCAAAAACAACCCAGCGGATTGAGCACCGGTCCACAGAAATAGAAAAACCATCACGGCCCCGCAGCACCATTGCGTTCTCATGTTTCAAAATCAGGTTCCAAAATAAGCCTTTCAGACATGAAAATGTTAAACCCTTCTGGGGTTTTGTGTTGCAAAACGATGCGAATTCATTTTCATCTTTTTGTGGGTTCGCTGCTCGGTCAGAGCTCCTTTAAAGTGCTGCCTGTTTTCGCCAAAAGATCATCCGAATTCATCTCCCATCTCTAAATTAGTATTTCGGACATGTGACGTAACATGTTCCATGACGTAAGATGTTCCATGTTTGTATCTCAACAAGCTTCCCATGACGTAACACGTTCCATGTTTGTATCTAAACACCCTTGCAACGCCCTTCCCATGATGTAACATGTTCTGTTCTTCCTCAACGCATTCGTGGGTGGTCAGTGTACACTTGTCTATGAGACATTGGCACATTTGTGAAACGGTAAACGGTCCGCTCACAAAAACATGCAAAAGCATGGCTGCGTCCCGCAATCAGAGGATGGGTCTACAACAAATGGCACTTCTAAGGGGGGGTATTCGAAATATTCAAAAAAAGATGATGAACCGAACCTGCTACATCTGATGTACCCAATTTTAGGACAAACCCAAAATGATCGCTTGTGGAATCTTTATTTTAACCCAAAACCAGTACCCTACCCAACGTGTAAATTACCCATTGATCGCTGCTTTCATGAAACTCTTCTCACTGTGTTGGCATCTGTTCGCTTCCAAAAATTGCTGATAAGCTGATGCACCAATTCCCAGTCCCCAAATTCATCCAAGGCTCTCCACATTGGCTTCACGCCGCTTTGGGTTGGCGCAAAAACGGGACATGACCCGCTGGCACTGGGCGAAACCCATCGGACGCCGTGACCGATCGGCTCGTGTCGTCGATCGGAAACCAGGCCACGGTTTCAGGTCATTGGACTCGGAAGCACGGCTGTGATCCAATCATATCAACTGATATCAACCAGTCCTATCAGAAAAATATCCAATATCCAAGGCCTTAAAAGTTGGCCACAAAAAACCTGAATGCAACACCTCCGTGTCTGTTGGAA